CCTGGGGGCGGGGCTAGCACAGCGGGGAGGAGCTGGGGGCGGGACTGGAATGTCAGGGAGGGGCTGGGGGCGGGGAGAGAACGTCCAGGTGGAGCCAGGGGCGGGGCTGCAACATAGGGGAGGAGCTGGGGCACGGGAGAGAATGTCTGGGAGGAGCTAGGACACTGGGGAGGAGCTGGGGGAGGGAAGAGAACATCGGGGAGGAGCTGGGGGCGGGGCTAGGACAGCGGGGAGGAGCTGGGGGGCGGGGCTGGAATGTCGGGGAGGAGCAGGAGCGCAGGAAGGGAACATTATGGGAAACTGGAGGATTTGAGATTAGAATTTCGGAAGGGCTGATGGGATGGGATTAGAATTTCAGAATACACTGGTGGGCGGGGAGAGGATATGGAAGAGGGTAGGATCTGGGGCCGTGAGTTGGGGGATAATTCCACTAGGGCACTGGGAGCGCAGGTACAACGTAAAGATCAGGGTGGGCTGTGGATAGAACGCCCCTTGCGGAATTTGAGAGGCCGAATAGACCTAGGGCCGGTGGGGTTGGGGAAAGGATCTAAATGGAACCTCTCCTGATAGAGGCGGCGGGGACAAGACTTTCAGGATAGACCCCGCGAGAAGACAGAATTAAAGGGAAAACGGGCCAGGACAGGACTCTGGGGAAAGACCTGTGGGCGGAGATGGAACGTCAGGTGGGTGCGCAGAGGTAGACCGTGGGCAAGGGATAGACTGGAAAGTACAGCCGGTTGAAACCCAGCAGAATGTGCAGCACGAACCTGAGCGGACGGGGCCGGAGACTTGGTTCTGGTTTAGGGGCATGAGAGGGCGAGAGGGGGATCTTGGCGCGGATCATATGACTGACTCTTCTCTCCTCTCCCTCCGCCTCCCTTCAGCCTCCTGGGCCCTGCAGTGCATGCGGTGCGAGAGGAGCAGTTATTGCCAGGTGGAGGAGTGTGCCCCGGGCCAGGACCTCTGCAGGACCACGGTCATGCGCATATGCGAAGGTGGGCTCCAGCACGACTGGAAACGTGAGTGACCAAGGATCTTCTCACCAGTAATTAGGGCAAAGCAAACTAAAACAACAAGAAGAGCTTGTGTCACACCCACCAGACTGGCAGACATTTAAAAATCTGACAATACCAGGGTTGGTGAAAATGTGGAGCGACAGACCCTGTGTTGGGGTGTAAATTGGCAATTCCACCACCCAGAGCGATTTGGCAAAATCTGATACAAGTGAAGATTGGCATGCCCTACAGCCAGCAGTTCAACTCCTGGGAATGTAGACATGCCAGAGAACGTTGGTCACATATCCCCAGGGACACATGTTTAAGAATGTTCATAGCAGCAGTGTCTGTGACATGGAAAATTGGAAACAAACTCCAGTCTGTCAGCAGCAGAGGAGAAACGCTGTGGTATAATCACATAAAGGAATGCTCTGCCCCAGTTTAAATAAAGGAACTGGAGCTGCAGATATCAATGTGGACACATCTCAAAAACATAAGGTTGAAAGAAAAAACCCGTTGCAGAATATGACACCTTTTATATAAGCTTCAAAAAACATGTGAAGCAATATTATATATTGTTATGCATACATAGTGCAAGAATTACCTACACCAGTGGATGCCTCAGGACAGGGCATGAGAGGAGTGAGACTGGGAGGTGTGAACAGGGGACTTTAACAGTATCTTTTATTTATTTATTTATTTTTGAGACAGGGCCTTACTCTGTCACCAAGACTGGAGTGCAGTGACATGATCACAGCTCACTGCAACCTCCAGCTCCCAGCCTCAAGGGATCCTCCTGGCGCAGTCTCCCAAGTAGCTGTGACTACAGGCACACACCACCATGCATGACTAATTTTTAAAAATTTTTTGTCGGCCGGGCGCGGTGGCTCACGCCTGTAATCCTAGCACTCTGGGAGGCCGAGGCGGGTGGATCGCTCAAGGTCAAGAGTTCGAGACCAGCCTGAGCAAGAGCGAGACCCCCGTCTCTACCAAAAAATGGAAAGAAATTAATTGGACAGCTAAAAATA